AGAAAGAAAATAATACACATACAAAGTTGAGTAAACTCACAAAAAAAGCAACAAAACCGAAATCACATTTAATTTAAAACATGAAAACAGTAGAGCAATCATTCAAAGAAGTGCCTATTCTTCAACCATGTGAAACTTCGATCGTAAAGGGTTCGAGGTAGACACAAGACATTATCAACATCTCAACCATGACCATAAACTCACAACGTGTGTCGCATCAAGAAAAACAAGGTTGCATGTCCTTTGCCCTCATTAGTTTCTCAAGTTTGATGATGCTCGTCCCTACGAGATCAGATCGAACTAAAGAGGCAAGCGGGGCGGTCACTAAGATAAAGACAGAATGGGGAAGTTGTCGCATCATCCAATCATTGAGAGAAAGTGGGATAATGTTGACAAAGTTGTGACTTGGCCGGAAAAAAAAAACACTCCTATACAGATATGCAAGGAGATCCGAAGGAGATCGGCGTTTTGCTGTGAACTTAGCTTCAAAAATAAGATGAGAAAGAACGAGAAATCAAGGTGTTCAGACCTTCTGCTCTCATTCCATAGCCCTAGGCCATGCAACCACACATCAATGTTCACACTTCCCTTACTCATGCACTGGAGATCCTGACCGCCACGTACCAACCTCCGTACCACAACAATCGTCACTCCAAAAACTTAGTCACTACGCCAACCCAGATCCCCGCAGTTCGTCGTCGCAGTCGTCCAGTGCGCAGCCCCACACGACTATAGTCGGCTCGTCGGGACTTTCCGACTCGCGGATCATTACGTCATCTAGCCACTACTTCCTTGCAACTGGCAGATGGGTTGAGAGAGGTTTTCGGATGTTCTTTCAGGTTTGATAGTTGTGGGGAGAGAAGTAGAAGATAAGAGAGGGAAGAATAGGAAGGTTCGAAGAGAGGGGGAGAGAAAGAGGGATTACTAGTCGCCTTGGGAAAACCATATCGATCCGCACAAGTTACTCCGCAATCAATCGGATCGCAGCATGAGGATGTGAGTGTCTCCTTATACGTTACTGTATGATGTTTCGAAGGATTGGAAGGGGATTGGTAGGACCTTCCTGTACGAGGATGAAGGCGGGAAAGGAAAGGGGGCGAAGAGTGATGCGAAGGATGAACAAAATTCAATTGAAGAGAGAGAGAAAGAAGAGCAAAGAAAGGGGGATGGAAAACAATTACGGGTTAAAGGAAAAAAGCGCGAAAAAAAAAAAAAAAAAAAAAAAAAAAAA